CGATCCCGACTCTGTGCGACAGGGTGTGCGCGCGCACGCGGCAGAGCGCCGACACGCTTTACGGCAGTAGCTTGAGCGCGTGACGTCGGGCCACAGCTTCATTTCGCACGTGGCGCACGAGAAGGCACGGCGTAGCTGCGGTCTCTTCCGAATCTGGAGGGTCCGCTGCCACCATGAAGCGGCCGAGTGAGTGGGGTCGGGAGGTGGGCGCGAACCGGGAGGTCGCTCTTTCTGGCCGTAGGCTCCCCAGGCCATTGCTCTGTTCCCCCGTACAACTGAGGATTGGAAGGCCCAGGCCTGACCTCGGCCTCGTTCACCAGGGCCTCTTCTGTAGAAGGAAAGCTAGGCCCATAAGGTAAAGACTAAGCCTTATTTAAAAGATTAATGCTCCTGAGGCTGTTTGGAGCCCGGGGATTTCCTTTCGTTTAAGAATTATTCAAAAACACCGTCGGACGGCAGTGGGGGCACTCGTAAGAATAACGCAGTAGGGTCGAAAGTCTGCCGCCAGCCTGGGCTGTGTACTGAAACCCTTGCTCAAAAATTAAAAAAAAAAAAAAGCCTTCGTCACTTGCGATTCGTGGTGCTTTCCTCTAGAAGCTGCTTTCACTCCGTATGTACTGAGTCAAACTGACTGGGATTTGAAGGTGGAGCGTATACTATTATTAAATACCCAGCATAATTTTGTAGGAAAGGTCGAGGACAGATCTGTGTAGCCCAGGCTATCTTTAATTCCCGTTCCGCTTGGTCTCAGGGTCCAAAGTGCTGTGATTAAAGGCATGTGTCCGTCTTCCAACCCCTCTCACCTCCGTGAGTCTCATCTAAATTGGTGGTTGACTTACTACAAGAGAAGTACATTAAAACATTGTGGTCATAAGGTAGTGTCTTGAGGATCAGGATTATGGCTAAACTTGTAAAGGCACTTGCCACCAATCCTGACTGTCAGAGTTCAATCTCCCAAACCAACATGATGCAGAGAACGTCTGCAAATTGTTCTCAGACTAAACACAAACATTTTTTTGGTGGGTTGAGTGGAAAGGAGGTTTAGCATATGAGAGCACTGGATGCTCTTCCAGAAGACCAGGGTTTGAGTCTCAGCACCCACATGTCAGCTCACTGCTTTCCTGGGGAAATGAAGCCCTCGTGGCTTCCTCTGCAAGAGCACTGTATCACATGGTTGGTGCCCAGACAAGAGCAGACAAAACATCCATACATAATAATTTTTAGAAATTAAAAACAAAACTAGGCTTACTGCTCAAGTATACAGTCTTTAATTGTTTTTTTGTGTGTTTTTGACAGAGTTAAAGAAAGCAAGCAAACGTATGACCTGTCATAAGAGGTATAAAATCCAAAAGAAGGTAAGTGTTCCTGGTAGACATCTCTCCTCCATGGGGAAGGCTCTGTTACTGATTTAGGGGTTGGACTTGGATAGAAGCTCTTAAACATAAAGAATGCAGCTGTGGGAAAGTTCAGGGTGAAAGCCGAAACTGTACACTGTGACATAATCTTTTTTCTTTTTTTTTTTTCCCTCGAGACAGGGTTTCTCTGTAGCTTTGAAGCCTATCCTGGCACTCAATCTGGAGACCAGGCTGGCCTCAAACTCACAGAGATCTGCCTGCCTCAACCTCCCGAGTGCTGGGATTAAAGGCGTGTGCCACCAACACCCTGCAACATAACCTTTACAGAGAGCTTTTGACTAATTTTTCTCTTTTATTCATACTTATTTCTGTGTATAATTCCAATTGAAGGTCCATTTTTGTAGGGTGCTTGACATGCATTATAAATGGTGTCTAAGATTGGCTTATTGCCTAAATTCTAAGTGGTAAACTATTTTTGTAGGGTGAGGATTTTTTTTCTTTTGTACAATACCGAGGATTGAACCCTTGGCCTTATATATGCTAGGCAAGCACCCTTCTCCGACCTTCTCATAGTGTTGTTGTTAATAGGTCCGAGAACATCATCGAAAATTAAGGAAGGAAGCTAAAAAGCGGGGTCACAAGAAGCCTAGGAAGGACCCTGGAATTCCAAATAGTGCTCCCTTTAAAGAGGCTCTTCTTCGTGAAGCTGAGCTAAGGAAACAGCAGGTAAATTCTGTGAGCTGAGACTTCTCAAAGAATGTGGTATAAGTATATGTGGTAACACCATCAGTCTACAGCTCATTCATTTCTTTATGGCTCTGTCACAGCTTGAAGAACTAAAGCAGCAGCAGAAACTTGATAGGCAAAAAGAACAGGAAAGGAAAAGAAAACATGAAGTTAACCCTGGCGATGAGCAATCTAATGTGGAACCTCACCAGGTAGGGTATCTCTCCTTAAAAATGAATTGTGCTCTGAAGCAGAAATAGAAGTAGTAAAAGACTAATAAAGAAATGTAGGTTGTTTCCTATTTAAAATACCAAATATATTGTCTGTAGTCATCTGTTTAAATGTTAATATACTGGTAATGACTGCTGTTTCTGTATATATATGTATGTTTTATATCTTAGGAATTTGAAGAACCTAAAAGCAAGAAAGCAAAACCAGGCAAACAGAATCCAAAGAAATTGCATTGTCAGGAACTTAAAAAGGTATCTTACTATAGGTCAGTGTCAAAAGTGGTAATGAGACTTTGAAAACTTGAGAGTACCTTTGAAAAGTGGGAATCCTTGGAAATGGTTGCAGTAAAGAGGGTGGATGGTAGATTCTTGGTGCACTTGCTTCCTAACACTGCCCACCCCGATGTTCATTTCCCAGGCTCACTCTAATCTGTTGCCAGAACCTGGATATGCCTAAGTACTTCTAAGAAGGCCCATTAAACCATACATTTCGTTGTGGGTAGGCCATAAGTTCTGACCTGATCAGGTTATTTGCACTTCGAGACTCATGCTTTATCATAGGCTGCTGGGCACGGTTATTTGACTTTATTTATAGGAAATATTGTCAATATTCTTCTTACTAAAATGAAGGCATGGAGAGTCTGTCTTCTGGACTCATGGTTACAGTTGAGTGTTTGTGGTTTCTTATTTGACAGGTGATTGAGGCCTCAGATGTTGTGTTAGAGGTTTTGGATGCCAGAGATCCTCTTGGTTGTAGGTGTCCTCAAGTAGAAGAAGCTATTGTCCAAAGTGGACATAAGAAGCTGATACTTGTATTAAATAAATCAGGTGAGTGGAAAGGATCCCCTTTATCTCCTGTGTGTGCACTTATGAGGTATGAGGAAAATGTCTAAACAGTCTGATTCTCACTGAAGACTGATAAGATCCAACTCTGACCTCAACAAAACCAATGCATGTGCACTGTTCGCCAAGGACATGGGGAGGAGGTGGTTTCAGCAGATGATCCAACTGGACTATCCTGTTCTGCTATTCAATACTTAGTCTCCCTTGGTTTTAAGAAAGTTTCTGTAACTACTGTTTCATACAGGAACTGACAACAACTCCGCTGTAAGCTAGGGTGCAAGATAAGTTACTACACAGGACAAAATAAGTGATTCTGTGTCTGGGTGGGCTTGAAGCAGGAAGAAGAAAACCCAGAGAAAGCATTTGTCTTTTCCTACTCCTTAACAGAGTGGGTACTAAAGGAAAACTGGCTAAATTTTAATGAGGAATTGCAAGCAGTGGTTTGTAAGCCTTAACAACAGAGGGAGGTATTTTGTATAGACAAATATAAGAAAGTGATTTAAAAATCACTGTTAGCTTAGAAAATCGGTGCCTCTTAGGTGAGGAATGCTGTATTTTGCTTTCTCAAGGCAGCGTTTCTCTGTATAACTTTGGAGCTCTGTAGACCAGGCTAGCCTTGTGAGGAATACTGGAAACTTGGGCATAGGCTGAAGTAGTCCTTAAATTGAGTGAGCAGTACTGGAGATACTGAGATTCAAAGGTAGCTCAGTTGGTACAGTTCTTGCCTAGTACTCAAAAGGTGGTTTGCTGCCTGGCACCACATAAAACCAAGCATGGCAGGATGCTTCTTCAATCCCATCACTGAGAGGACCAAGGGAGGTTCCTTAAAGGTCATTCTCAATTACATAGTGGGTTTAAGGCCAACCTGGAACGTACAGGACTGTAGGAACCTGAAAGTAAAGATGTAGTAACATATCAAGACACAGTGGCGTGACAGAAAGTTTACTTTTACCTTTAATTCCTTTTGAAAGATTGGGGGAATGTAAATGAATACAATCAATAGTTTACCATGTTTAATAACTTAGTCTTAAAACCACCGAATTGAAGCATGTCTTTTCCCCAATTACCAGATCTAGTACCGAAGGAGAATTTGGAGAACTGGCTAAATTATTTGAGTAAAGAATTGCCAACAGTGGTGTTCAAAGCTTCGACAGACATGAAGAGCAAAGAGAAGATGCTCAAGGTACACTGTCCTGTTAGTGGTGGGGAATGTGGTTTTCCTCGGGTTTGTGATGACTGAAATATGATGAGTATGCAAAATGTTGATTAAGGTGAGAAACAATAAGATCCAACTCTGATTTCATCAAAAGATCATCTGAAAGGCAGTAGAGGCTAATGGCTTTTCTAAAAGCTGGAGTCTGGTGCCAGACTTAACTGGGTTCCACCTGATGTTATCTGATAGAATTATTAAAACAATTGTGTTTGGGATTTTTTTTTTTTTTTTAATGTCTAAAGGCAAAGAAGAAAGCTGTTCCGTTCCAAAGGAAACTCTGCTCTGGCAAGGAAGCACTTTGTAAGCTTCTCAGAAGTTTTCAGCAGTCATGTGGGAAAGATATCCAGGTTGGAGTAATTGGTAAGTTTCATTTAGCATGTTTACCTTTCTTACCATTTAAATCTAAAGATACTTAACTAACAGTATCATATTGTGAAGAGTGAACAGGTAATTACAAAAGAAAAGGTTTGTTCTCAAATGTTAATTCTGGCTTAACTCGCCAAAACACTTTAAAATATATGTAAGAGCTCTTGGCAGTTAGAACACTTACCTGATATAGGCAAGGCAACTACCAGAAAATGTGTTTTATAATCTGAGCTTAACTTTATTTGTAGGTTTCCCAAATGTGGGGAAAAGCAGCATCATTAATAGCTTAAAACAAGAACGGATATGTACTGTTGGAGTTCCTATGGGACTTACAAGGTAAATAAAACCCAGTAATTAGAAAGACATCAGTAAAAGACAGATAGTTGGAGCTGGGGTAGGGAAATGGTTTGAAAGGTTGAGGAAAGCTGCCTTAAAGGAAGTAGTATTTGGACCTGATCTTGACATAGTGCTTATTTTAGAAGGGCTCTGTATGTTAGGGTTTCACATAAACATGAAGCAGTGATGATAAATTGGATCTGACTGCTGTGCTGAGTTTGTTCAATCCAACCCTGAGCTTCATGTTGTCTTGCCATTTGGGTAGGCCGGTATCCCTGTTAATTCCAACTCTTTTTCCAGGAGCATGCAGATTGTCCCGTTGGACAAGCAGATCACAGTCATAGATAGTCCATGCTTCATTATCTCACCATGTAACTCCTCTGCTGCACTTGCTTTACGGAGTCCAGTAAGCATTGAAGTACTAAGACCATTGGAGGCTGCCAGTGCCATTCTATCCCAGGCTGATAGTCAACAGGTAAAAGAAATCTCCTTGAGCTCCTTACCACTGTTCTTCATCTACACCGACTAATGACAGACTCGTTTTGTTTTTAAGGTGGTATTAAAATACACTGTCCCGGGGTATAAGGATTCTCTGGATTTTTTTACTAAACTTGCTCAGAAAAGAGGTCTGCACCAAAAAGGTGGAAGCCCAAATATTGAAAGTGCTGCTAAACTGCTATGGTCTGAGTGGACAGGGTAAGGGTTCTTTATATTGGCATTGAAGACAATGTAGAATAAAGGGGTTGAACTGTGTTTGACAGATCTTATATTTAATGCCAGTGCCTCATTAGGTTACTACTGTCACCCTCCTGCATCCTGGAATCCTCCACATTTTAATGAGAATATTGCAGCAAACATGAAGAAAGGCTTTAATCTAGAAGAACTAGAAACAAATAATGCACACAGCATACAAGGTGATTTTTTTTATATATTGATGAATTTAATAGTGACAGGATGCTAGTCTTACCTGTTAACATGAGTTTTATTCCTTTCCTCTAGTCCTGAAGGGCCCTCGTTTAGCTAATAGAATCCTTTTCCGGTCCTCTGGCCCCACAAATGGAATAATAGAAGAAACAGACATACCCGAAGAATTGCCAAGACAGAAAGAAAACAAACAGAATACTGAAGATCAAGGAAATGATGAAAATAATGTAAGTCTTGTTTATTTCATTAAAGCTCGAGTGAATTTTCTAGCATTGCAGCACAGAAAAATGGGGAGGGGTCAAGTGTAGAAACAATTTGTGGTTGTATTATGGGTATTTCAGACTGAGCCATTTTATGAATTCCTAATTGTGTGTGCCACCCAAGACTGATTTACCATATCCCATGGGCTATTAATTGTACATCACATTTCTTTGGTCCACAGGCAGAGAGCTCAGGTGTACCCCCTGTAGAAGACGCCAGGGAGATGTTACCTGTGGAATCAACAGCAAGTGAGTCTGGGACAAAGGACTTACTATCACAACATAATTTGAGCACAGTTGGGTTTATTTTTGTGTATAAAATTTTGCTTTTCTTTTTCTCCAATACAGATAAACCACCTGACAGATCATTTACTTTGGATGAAATGAGTCAAGAGGATGATGACTATGACTTTAAAACAGATTATCTATAAAATTGCTACAGACAATTGCTGCATTAAAATGTTTTGTGTATAGAGTCCCAGGTTGGCATGAAACAAACTGTAAATGTTGTGAATATGTATCATGTTATGCATTAAAAACAAACTGCAAAATGCTTACATGCATTTGTCTTTATGATTTGTTTATGATCAGGCATGGTGGTGTATACCTTTAATTCTGGCCCTTGGTAGGCAGAGGCAGGTGAATCTCTTGAGTTCGAGACCAGCTTGGTCTACAGAGGGAGTGAGGCCAGGACAGCTATGGCTACACATAAACCCTGTCTCAAAAAATGTCCAGGATGGGTGGATAGATACATGCCATGAGGTGGAGTCTCTAGAATGCATTAGATCTCCTGGAACTAGAATATAGTTGTGCTGGAAATTGGACTCCGAAAGAGCAGCAGTGTTTACTTTTTTTTTTTTTTTTTTTTTTTTCCTTTGAGATAGGGTTTCTCTTTATTATTTTGGAGCCTGTCCTGGAACTCAGTAGATCAGGCTGGCCTCCAACTTACAGGGATCTGCCTACCTCTGCCTCCCAAGTGCTAGTATTAAAGGCGTGTGCCACCAATTCCCAGCCAGTGTTTACATTCTTACAGTATGGGGGAGAGCATTAGTTGTCTGGAAGCTAAGAGATTTATTGGAAAAGGTAGATTTTATTTACAAACTGGGCCATAGGTTACAAAGATTAAAACCAAGCTGCAGTTCCTCCTAACTACAGCAAGTAAATGAACTAATGATGGATTTGTCAGTCTGTCCTTCAGGTCAGTCAACAGTATTATAGTAAGCAAACATTTGGTAAGGCAGATGGAGACATTGTAGTCATCTGGGAACCTGACTGCCACAGAAGCAATTTGTGATCTCTACCCAGCTGAAACATAGACTTTTCTGTGGGTTGCTACAGAGACTCAAGCCTAACAGTTAACTTCCCACATGTTGTGTCTTCCAGGATTTCCTGAGTGCTGCATTTAGCTTACTTAAATTGTAGTTCACTTTATGTTTGAGGTATCCATATGTCTTCGGATTAAACTAAATTTGCCTGTTGGGTCTGGAATATACCATTTTTCCCAAACATCAGCATATGAAGCAGCTCTTCCCCAAGGCTTGAAGTGACCATTCCAGTGAAGTAACTTGGCAGCCTTTACAAACTGGGGTGAATACCGTTTTCCAGCACTGGAACCTTAAATAGAGAATAAGTGCCAAATAACTACTAGTAAGACAAAGCAATGTCATGCTAAGGGGCAGATACCTTAAGGGAAACACTGGGTATATATAGCTCATCCCAAAGGAGGAGTTCTTAGACACCAATTTCTGATTACCTTAAATCAGTGGCTATTTTTCTGCTAAGTGGCTCTGACTGACTTCAAACTTTCAGGGTAGTACTGCTGCCTTAACATCACAAGTGCTAGGATTACCAGCATAAACCAGTATACCCAGCTTGAACTCTATACTTACCAAGGTGGCGAACGTTCCACATAGGATCAATGGTGGAATGCTGCTGATAAAATACGATAAGCAGAGGCGGTGTGGTGATGCTGCCAGCCAGTGTTCTACTGTACAATCCCTCTCTTGGTAAAACATAAAGAATGTTAGTAAAGAGGACTGATAACTTCTATTAGTAAAGACTTAAAATAGCTAAACCAGTTACATACTTACTCTACATTAAGTTTCATCCATTTTTCCAGCTGGTTAGTTACATTCTGTCTTTTCCATTCAGTCAAGTTTGCAACAAAAACTCCAGGATTGAAGGAGCAGGTGCTGGCTTTCATGGAAAGCTTACGAATTCTTTCCTTTTTATAGTCAAGATAGCCAATATAATTGTACTAGAAACACAAGTGAGATATTTGCTGCTTCACACAAGAAAAATTTTTATAGCAAAGTCAGTAGTTGAACTAAGGAGACTTCCCAAGTTATTAGCAAAAGTAACAGGAGATCCGACAGAAATAGTTGGGATCCGAAGTTTGTCTTAGCAGAATAACCAAGGAGAATTTGGTTGTAAAGTCCATAAATGAATCAACAGAAAATAGGCATGCATTCTGAAGTGAAGTAACTGTTTAATGTAAGATTGAGCCCTGAATTTACTTCAAGCTTTCATAGGGAGTAAGGTTTGCAATAAATAATTTACCTGGTTCCCTGCTCCACGAATAATGACTTTAGTAGAGGTTGAATCACAATCTTCTGAAAATGCAGCAGCATGTCCTGGCTTCAGTGGTGTATTGTACAAGGCAAGAATATCACCTGAAGCAGACAAATTGAAATGAACAATTTGCAGTTGCCTTGAGATTCTGTTCCTTCTATTTTTTTTTTTTTTTTTTTTTTTTTTTTTTTTTTTTTAATTTGGTTTTTGAAACAGTTTCGGTGTAGTCCTGGCTGTCCTGGAACTCATTCTGTAGACCAGGCTGGCCATGAACTCAGAGATCACCTGCCTCTGCCTGTACTGGGATTAAAGGCATGCACCACCACCATCCTGCTATCTGTTCCTCCCATGATCTAAAGGTAGCTTTTTATAGTAGATCATCTGTCGGAGGCCCATAAAGATGGCTCCACTCCATCTTGACTTAAGGTCAGAGAGTTCAAAACTGTCCTTATAAGTCTATAGCTTGGCTGTTGCAGGATGTTTCAGCCTTGGTAGCAGATGTCTTTATCTAAATAACAACAGACTTAGGCTCAGGTGTGTTTACTCTTGACCTTGAAGGTCAGATGGCAGGAGTGGTCAACAAATACTTGGAGGATTAAGGGAAGTAAGTCTGTTTACCCTTATATATGATAATAGAAATCTGCCATTGTCCCCACTTTTTGTTGGGTCCTTAAGATTGTTAAGAATAAACTAAGGACATTCAGCATTGAGTATGGACTGAATGGCCCTCCTGACAAAATTCCTGTGTCTCTGTGTTGTCCACACTCCCCCTTTTCAGGTACAAACTGTGGTGGGCTAGTCGGCTTGCTCTAACTGCAGCCCTGAAAACACAGCTTCCCACAATCATCATAGCATAACCCTTACAGCCCAGAATCCAGATGAAGAAAGGAACCCATTCTGTGGTACCTTGTACAATTACATCATCATCCATGTATATGGCCTTCTTTGCACTGGGAACCAGAATTGGCAAGTAGAACCTTGCAAAGGTTAACTGAAAAGGAAAGAAGCATCAGCACAGGATATACTAGCTGGGCTCTTATTTGTAGAAGCCATTAACTACTAAAATGTTCTCAGAACCCTTGTAAAAGACAGGCAGTGGACTCCTGGTGCTGCTCAGGTTTTGTCCCTAGGGAACTACTTGCATTGGACCCTGAGTTATCCAACTATTCTAATAAAATACACACCCCAATAGAAACAAAGACACATGGAACTCACTGGTTTCATGGACTCCCCCTGGTCAGGATCCTCCTTTACTTTCCCTTCCAAAAGTTTAGTGTCAAAATTTACAATTTTGTACCTGATGCTTTTCAGGGAAACACTGTTAAGCCAGGATCTGATGAAGAAAAATACATTACAGTCTTAAACAGTCATGCTTCTGAAATATAGCCTTATCTTTCTATGCTTTTCTAACAGTGGTATGATACAATATAAGAGAAACCCAAAGTACCAAATAGATGTGTCAAGTTCTTTATCTCTAATACTAGGGGTTCTTAGCGTGAGATGAGGCGTTCCCACTAAAGTTCCTTCTAAACCAAGAATCTATGGGAGAATCTCTTCTCCCAAAACTTTATTATAGGAACTCTAGACTCATGAACACCCTGCCAAAACATGGACTTTTATTTCTTTTGTTGAGGCACTATCTTATTACATTAACTAGGGTAACCTTGAATTCATTATTCTCCCTCAGCCACCCAAATGCTGAGATTACAAGGGTGCAACACCATGCCCAGCTGGACCATAAATTTTTTAGCCTTCCAAAAATTGACTCAAATTATAATGATAGTAAAACTAGTATTCAATCTGTCAGCTGTAGAATGATTGTTTACTTCAATGAACCTAAGAAATTTACCCACCTGACTGAGGCACTGTAAAAACAGCCCATGTTACCTGCAGAAGCACTATACATTTTTTTTTCTAGCCCATTACAAACCTGCAGTATGCTTCTGTATCTCAGATGGGTTTTTTAAGAATGAGAACATAATTTTCATGAATGTGACCCATGGAGAAAGCCACGAGGAAAGAAATACTTAGAACTCTGACAGTTTGTCAGACAAGCTGCTTTTTAGAATAAATTTTGTAGATTTTTGTTTTTAATTTTTTTTAAGGCAGTCTCATACACCCCAGCCTGTAGTCAAGGATGCCCTTGGAACTTCTGATCCTCCTGCTTCTACCTCCTGAGTGCTGGAATGACAGGCATGAGCCTCCACACCCAGTTTCTGTGATGTTGGGAATTGAACCCAGTGCTTTGTGCATGCATACTGGTAAGAAGCTTCGAATAGTAAGTAAATATATTGCCTCCCTTATTCAGAAAGTCAGGTTGCCAAACATTAGACCCATTACTAAAAGAACTGTGGAATTAACAGTGTGACAACTAGCTTAGTTCTTGACATAAATTATCATTTCTCTTGCCACAGAGACATGACACAGTCACATAGAAAAATATTTGGGGTGTGTATGTGTGTGTGTTAAAACATAAAACAGAAAGATATAATGTAAAATGGTTCCTGGCTTAGCAGTAGGCCAGTGAAGACCTTTGGGTAGAAGCAGAGTCATTAGGAAAGCAGTGCTCACCGGAGATGGTCTTCTGTACTGTTGAGCGTAACAATGTAAAAAATCACATTGGATCGAGTGTTATGATGAATACTATTTATGGCTGCAATTGTCCCACCCAGCCTGTCTTCAGAGGCAGCAATGACCACGGGAATCTCCTCTTGTCTCCCATTTACTGGATGTTGATGAATATCTGCGACAAAGTCTATGGGCTGAAGCCCCAGAATTCCTGAATCTGAGAAGAACACACACAAGGAAAGCACCGGAGCACAACAATCTCACCAAATTTTGTTCTTGTTTGGGTTTGTTTTGTTCTTTGAAACATAGTTTCACTATGTAGTCCTGGCTGGCTGGAACACACTAGGTAGCCCAGGTTGGCTTCAAACGCAAAGATCTCCCTTGCCCAGCAAGTCTTTTATTTTTTGGTTTTTTGAGACAGGTTTTCTCTATGTAGCCTTAGCTGTCCTGGAACTTACAGAGATCTACTTGGGTCTGCCTCCTGAGTACTTGAATTAAAGGTGTGTGCCTCTACCACCCAGCTGACCAGCAAATTTTTCACAAAGTCCAAGACATGGAAGGAGATAAAATGAGAATTACAATTTACTTATTCTTGTCCATTAACTTTGAAGCATACAATAGAAAATTGTGTTTTCATATATGTAATCACTTTTTTTTTTTTTTTTTTTTTGGTTTTTCGAGACAGGGTTTCTCTGTATAGCTTTGGAGCCTATCCTGGCACTCCTCTGGAGACCAGGCTGGCCTCAAACTCACAGAGATCCACCTGCCTCTGCCTCCCGAGTGCTGGGATTAAAGGCGTGCGCCACCAACGCCCGGCTTATATGTAATCACTTTTAAAGAAGTGGGAGAATTTTAAAAAATAATTTGGCAACACTGTTGGTATGCCATTAGTAGGGAAGTTACAGAACCTTTCTAAAATGGATTCTGACAGCTTATAAGCAGCCTTAAAGGGGTGTATAGCCTTTGTCTTAATCATTTTTTCTTAAGGACAAAATCTGAAATAGAAAAGAAAAATTTTTAGGTTGAGGATCTAGCTCAGCTGTACGGTGTATGTTCCGAATGAGTAAGGCTCTGGGTTCAACCCACGCACACCAAAACAAGCCACCCTCTTACTAATACTTATGAAAACCCAGAAACAGTTTTTCAAGCCACATATCCTATGGAGGGATAAAAATCAATGTGAGGGATCATGATCAGAATTTACTCTCTTTGTGGTGCTAGGGATGAAGCTTGGCCCTAGCATATATAACGCAAGCTCTCTGCTGCTAAGCTACATCCCTAGGTCTATGATCTGAGTTTAAATAGGAAAAGCTTTGGATTGGAATAGAAAATTAAAATTAAAGAGTTCTATACAAAATAACTGCAGTATTATTCTGTAAACCATCCTTCTTGCCTTTTATGATACAGTGGGACCTCCATATTTATGATTTCCACCTCTGTGAATTTAATTAATCACAGGTGGAAAATATTAGGAATCACTGTGCTAAATCTATAGAACCTTGATTTTTTTTCATTAGTACCTTAATAGTAAAAAAATACCATGGATTTATGCTATACAAGATATATGTCATATAGTGATACTTTATAGTACATAGTAAGATGCACACAAGTTATATACAAGTGTTTTTTGCAATTTTATGCAAAAGATACAAGTATCTGAAGATTTGGGTCCTACACCCAGTCCTGTGAATATAGAATGACAGCTATATATTCACTCTGCCATCAATGAACATTGAGTCTTATTATATGCTAGATAATGTCTAGCCCTGGAGTTACAACCATGAATAAAGCATATACATTTTAACCAGACAGATATCTATGTCTATGTATCTTACTATGGGATTGCCTCAAAATTTGAAAGTTATTTAAAAAAAGAAAATATATCTTCTTGTAGATTCAAATAAATTTAACAGCATTAAAACCACACACAGATAAGGTAAAAAAGACTTAATTATATATATGAAGTTTACGCTTCTGATAAAAATCACACGGAAAAGTTTGTCATGTAGGTTAGTACAATCTCGAATATATAGAAAAAATACATAAAGTGAGAAAAGAACTGGAAAACACGAGATCAAAATTTTTATAGTTTCTCGTGTCAATGAAATAACTTATTCAACTGACAATGACTAAATAATTACATCTTCACCTCCAAGTGCTGGACTTACTAACTCTGGCTAACTGAGCTAACTCTGGCTTTATTTCCTTTTTGAGAAAGTCTTATACAGCTCAGGCTGACCTCAACTTGGTACATAACCAAAGATCGCTTGAACTTCCCCCCTAATGTCACTTATTATTGTGTATGTGTATATATGATGTGTGGGTGTGGATATGCCATGGTGCACACTGCTGGATTGCTACCCGAGAGAGAGAGAGAGGGAGAGAGAGAGAGAGAGAGAGAGAGAGAGAGAGAGAGAGAGGAGAGAGAGGAGGGAGGGAGGGAAGGAGGCAAGGAGGGAGGGAGGAAATTAAAAAAAAAAAAAGTCTTGCTATTGCCTATAATGGCCTCAAATTAATGATTCTCTTGCCTTGTCTCAACTTCCAAATTGCTAAGATTTGTGCAGTGTGTCATCACACCTAGCCTCAAAAATTATTTTTTGAAACAAGAACATTATGGTTCATACCTGTAATCCCATCACTATGGAGGCTGAGGCAGGAGGACCATTCCAGAACAGCCTAAACTACACAGTGAGTTTGAAGCCAGCCTGAGCCATAAGATCCAGTCTCAAAACAACAGAAAACAACAAAAAGGTATCTACAACACCCTGAAGCATCAAACATCCCTCATTACCAGGGTAGAACTATATGAACAACTAGATAATTGCAATCTAATTCTACAATACAATGATTTTTCAATCTGCTGATAAGACTGTGATCTCTGTTTTATTACAAAAGTCATACTGATGTGATTGCTAAGTTAACAGATAAAAGAAAGTCGCCATATTGACATTGTAGTGACAAAGGCAAGCACCAAATACCAGGACACTTGCCTGCCTGTACCCATCTTCTAAAGCTCTGACATGATAAAATGCAAGCAGATGGCAGCCCACAGACACCCCTTAAGGCCTCTGACTTGATAGAAAGGAATATTCTCTTGGATCAAGTCCTTAGCTAAAGACTTCATTATAGAGAGAAGAGTGGAAGGCACCATATGAAACTGATGAGTATCCACTATGCCTTCTGTCAGAATAAATGTTGAAAAAACTGCCAGCCCCTGACCAAGGAACATTCTGAAATCCCTTGACCCTATGTTGAGCTCCAGCCCCCACTCTTCATCTCCATTGCATAACTCAGTTACTCACTATCCACCTTATCCAGATAGCCTGAGCAAGGCAATTTCTAAAGATAAAACAGCCTTGTTTGGACAAACTACTCCAGGAAACAGAGCTTGCACACAGACCCTGAATCTGCAATAAACTTCCCATCCCCAAAACGTCCTATAACCGGGCATCGGTGGCACATGCCTTTAATCCCAGCACTCAGGAGGCAGAGGCAGGCGGATCTCTGTGAGTTCGAGGCCAGCCTGGTCTACAGAACGAGTGCCAGGATAGGCTCCAAAGCTACACAGAGAAAGCCTGCTTCGAAAAACTAAAAACAAAACAAAACAAACTTCCTATATAAACTCCCAGTATTCCTTTCCTTCTTTTTGCAGACACCCCTTCTCCGCTGTGTCTGTCCTTAGCTGTTTGAAATTAAGAGTCCCATCTGCGGAAGTCACTGGCCTCTTTTGGCCTTCTGCCTCTTTACACTGCCTCAAAGTCTTCATAAGTCCAAGAAGCAAGTTTTCTTTTCTTTAATATAGAGCTATAAGTTAGTATGTGGGACATGGGGACCCTCAGGTCCTTAACAAAGAGATAGCATTATGGAGTTAGTAAAGGTTCCATACCTGAAACTTCATTCCTTAGCAAACTGCTCAAGCTGAGGAAGTTATGGTGCAAAACCAGTAAGAAGAGAACAATGGCCAGGACCCAGATGATGATGCTTACTGAAACAGAGGAAATCTACATTACATCTTTTGGCTTTGGTCCATGTATAAAAATAATGGAATTTGGAGAGAGAATGAGAGAACATACCTTTACGGAATGACATCCTTTTCTTCTGTCTTACACAAACATTAGATACTAATCCTATAAAACAAAAGTCCCCAAAGTCAGTAAGTACATGAGTAAGATTTCCAGAACCTACATAAAAAGCAGGGTGTGGTAGCAGACAGGTAACCCATCACTGAGACGAAGACAGGAGGAGCCCTGATGGATGGCCATCTTGAAGAACATCACCTGAGGCTGACTTTTTGGCCTCCACATTTGTGTTCTCATACACACACAGGAATGCACACACACACACAAAATAAAAGAATATATATTATATACCCTATTACTTGTCTTTATCACATCATAGGTGGAGTCTTACCTACAGAAGCTGACAGATTGAGAGCTATTTAATAAAGTCTTAACATCTGCCTGCTTTGAGTTAAATTCCACCAAGACTGGATCAAACAATCTCATTCCAACAAACCGCAGCTAGTTGCTGGCACAAAAGACAATGTTTTATCTCATCAACTTCCAGTGATTATAGTTACCGGTAGCACTGTATATGGATTCCAAGTCACATGCATCTAGAGGTGTGTCTCTTACGTCCAGCTAGCAGACCGTAAGAAACACACCTCTAGCAAGTACTGACTGTACTTAAGTAGATACACATGATGGACTTATAGGTCCAGTTACCTACATGAAAAATACCAGCTATCAGAGTAAATCTGATCAATGTTGTGTTTCCTTGGTCTGTTTAGAAGGAGCTCTCAAAATTTCATATACACTGTAGGTATATAATAATAGCAACATTTTTATCAGAGAACAGTTGTGTACAATTTTCTTCACCATGAAAACTCATAATTATTTGCTCAGAAATTATAAAACTTTTACACTTCCAAACCATTTGTATAAACAACAAAAAACTTCTCATAAATACACACACACACACACACACACACACACACACACAGGAAGTCCAGACAGATACTACCTATCAATATGAAAGAAATCTTAAGGAAAAAAATTATGTTTATTGCTGTTTTTTAGACAGGGTCTCAACTATACAGTTCAGGCTTTTGACCCTGCTGCCCAGTGCTGAGATTATAGGGCTTCACCATCATGTTTGTGTATGTGTGCATGTGTGTGTGTGTGTGGGGGGGTGTCAGAGGTTGACATCAGGTGATCATGTTCTACCTTACAAGGTCTCTCAATTGAATCCCAACTTGCCAATCTATCTAGTCAGCTTGATCTCAGGATCTCATTTCCACCTCCTGACTGCTGGGATCACAGGTATGCTGCCACAACCACCCTGCATTTACACAGAATCTGGTGTGGTAAGCACTTTACCCATCATCTCTCTAGCCAACCTCCACCTTTAAAACAAACAAATATTCTAGTTACCTGTATTTATATTCAGTCTCAACTATTTTTTAATTATCCCTCCTATTACTATGGGCCAGACATATTCACAAGAAGCTATCCCTGTGCCCTATCCTACAATTGTTTTCTGGATCAGACCCAGAAGCATGCTAGCAAGCATGTTCTGTTGTCTTTCAGTTAAAGGTGGGGTGGAGGGTGGAGGATGGACAGGATAGTACTCTGCCTCCTTCATACTAAAGGACTGAAAAGATTTGAAATATTCTTCACCCTGCCTTTGCTTCTCTGTTCTTAGATGTCTGTTCCTATTTTCAAACTGCTCTTGTGGAGATCAGCAACCAGTATCATTTTTCTGTCCTCTCCTTACACCAAGAACCCTACTCTTCCCTCTCAGTTATGAAATTATCACAAGTATATACTTGTATCCTATGAATGTAAGTTCTATGGAAACAAGGAGCTAAGTGAAAATGTAACTTTACTGCTGTATCCTAGGCACTGAAGACCACCCCCACCAAAGAGCAACAGGTATGTGGTATCTGCTGAACGGTTTTGCTAATCCAGGAGCATCCAGTTCTCCAACCAAGAAGAGAATGCAATCTTAATAATCATGGACAATCAATTCCAGCATAAGGAAAAGCATGAGACTCCAGAGGAGCACTCACTTAAAAGGGACCCAACAATACCATTTCGTTTTCCCATCATTTTATAGTTCAAACACTCTGATCTCTACAGCAACTGCCATCCTGTGAGGTGCACTGGTAAGATACAATCCTGAGGGATGAACAACTATACTTGTAACAGAGTGAGTCTATTTATACATACTTAGAAATCATAGGGAAGGAGAAAGGGGAAAAGGCCAAGGGAACCTGTTGTTGCCCTTCCATGTACTGGCTCTAAGATCAGAAGTGTCAAAAGTGTCCGTGTTTTTCTGAAGGGTGGGAAAGCACAAGAAGACCTGGACATTCTCTTCACCCCTTTGCTGACTAGGTCCTACTTGACGTCCATGGTCAGAAAACTTCCCCCAAACCCACATTGCACCTCCCTGCGCTCCATCTCCTAGATGCCTCTCGTCCACAACTATGCCATATATTTCTGGAGTGATGTGGCCATCTCCCTTGACACACCCCCAAGATCTAAGTCACAGCTGTGCCTGGGTCTCTAGCTGGCAAAAAAAAAAAAAAAAAAGGAGAAGAAAAAAGAAGAAGAAGAAGAAGAGGAAGAGAGGAGAGGGAGGAGGAGGAGGAGGAGAAAAGAAAAGAAGAAGAAGAAGAAGAAGAAGAAGAAGAAGAAGAAGAAGAAGAAGAAGAAGAAGGAAGAAAGAGAAGGAAGAAAGAAGAAAGAAGAAGAGGAGGGGAGGAGGAGGAGTTAAAAATTCGTGGCTGATGTCGGGCAGTGGTGCATGCTTTAGTCCCAGCATTCGGGAGGCAGAGGCAGGCGGATCTCTGTGAGTTCGAGGCCAGACTGGTGTACGGAGAGTGCCATGATAGGCTCCAAAGCTACACAGAGAAACCCTAAATAGAAACATTAATTAATTAATTAATTAATTAATTAGAAAATAAAAATTGGTGGCTCCGTGGATGCGGGCAGCAGCCACTCACCTCCTGCCTGGAGTGCCTAGCATCTCACTGTGTGCACAGCAGAGAATCCAGAGAGGCAGATGGCCCCGGAGGGTGGGATCCCCAGAAAGGGTACCCCATCTAGCTCACTAATGAGGGGAAGCTTGCACTTCTGAAATATACACCACCCTTGAAAGAGGGGGCTAAGGGAAACCCTTAGCTGCTCTTTACCAGGGGGCCTGGTCTGGGGGAGTGTGAAAACCATGGAAACCCACAACCCAGTTGGTATGAATGTGGGGACGCCTTGAAGCATGGGGCCGCCAGGGCCTCGCTTCTCTTCTCCGAGGCAATCTCCTTTCCCTGGAGAATGTGGCTCGGTTATCTTCCCTAACTAAGAGCCTCCTTACGCTTGAAAGTGAAGGGGAGGTAGAGTGGCGCTCCCGGGATCCCGCCACGCACTGACAAGCCAGGTTAGAGTCGCGTCAGACGAATCGTCGTCCTCAGAATCTCAGCG